GGACAGATGTTGTGTGTCTGTGTGTCTTTGTGTCTCACCTCAGCTGTTTCTTGGACAGGGGACAGACGAGGACTTGCAGCAGAGCTTCGTCGATCTTCGGGCGGACTTGTTCCTTCCGGTCTGTGAAGCAGCGGACGAGCAGAGCCGGAGTGTGTGTCCGTGTGTGTGTCACACAGCGACCAACAACAACAACAACTGGTTGTAACACAAGTTTGCACAGAACCTGAGGAAACATGACCGGAACCACTCAGCTGCAGGACAACAGGAAGAAGCTCAGCGCGTGTAACCGCAGAGGGGGTCCTCTACTTCCTGTAAACCGGAAACTCCTCAAAGGTTCCGCTTCATTCTTCAGTAACGCACCTTAAAAACATTAATTAATTAATTATTAATGATTTAATTACTTTAATCCTCATTATATTATTTAAAGATATTATATGTAAGAATCTACACATTATTGTTATTATAGTAATAATTCTACTGTTTCCACATTTGTCCACAAGACGGCAGTGTTGTACTGTTACCGAAACATAATAATAACAATAATAATAATAATAATTATTATTGTTATTATTATTAACAACAGCCAATAGGAGTCCTCGACTTTAAGCTGAAAACTTTATTTACTCCTTTAGCCACACTAAATGTTTCAACTTTTAATCATTCATTAAATATATAGATAGTTAAAGAAATTATATATAAGACATTTTATATATATATCATAGTAATTATAGTAATTTGTAATTCATATTAATGTATTGCTTTTTCAGTTCCCACTGTTGTCCACAAGGTTGCAGTGTTGTACTGCTCAGCTTGAGGTGATGGTGCGACCTGACCAGAAGATTATTATTATTATTATAACCATTATTTCTGTCTTCTATTTTTCTATATATCTAAATTGTTATGATGCTTTTGAGAAAAGATTCATTTTAATTTACTTAATTTTCCATGTATATATCTATATTTGTCTTCGGTTCCAATATGTCATAACCTTGAAATTTTGAAGAGGTTTAAATGTATATTTATATATTTAATTCACATTTAAAATATTTCAAGCAATTCTGCAGCTAAATGATTAATAATAGGAGACAAATGGTGCACAGCTGTATACTTTGTTTTGCTGCGAGCCTCATTAAAAAGACTTTAATTCTCTCTTTATATCATTTGATCTAAAAAGTGTGTTCAAAGCCAAATCAAGGCTTCAGACAAAAAGGGTTGTAAAGCAATGATGAAATAAAACATGAATTATAATCCAGTGTATCTGAGACTAATCGAGTGTGTGTTATGGATATGTCTCCCTTTGTTAAATGTGTTTCATCCGTTACCTCAGTAAAACTCGACTCTATTAACATGAACATGTGCCGGAAATCTCCACGGGAGAGTAACAGGCCTCCAGTCGTGATGCTTCAGTGATGGTAACAAAAAAAGAATAACATTAAACCTTACTGCTGAATCGTCTTTCTGAACCGGGTTGACAAGATGCTCCATCAAATAAAATGTAAAGTTAGAAAAACACTGAAAAGCCAGATCATAAGAAACATTAAAAACAAATATATCAGTAACCATTAAAAATACAAATGATCCAAATGCTATCGTCTATACAGGAGAGTTTTTAACATCATCTGAGCAAAGAATTAAAAAGCACCTGCAGCTTCATGATCAGTGGTTTCACACTTGTTACGGTGCGAAACGTCTTTATCAGATGTTTTCAGATCAGTTTTATGTTTTTATCTCTACAGGCAGCTCATCACATCTTTGATTTCAGTCCAGAGGTGTTTGAGAAACTTCAGCTTCTGTTAAAATCCTCATCTATCTCTGGAGAGATGAGAATCCTCAGCGACAGCTCAGTCGTCCTGCAGATAAGCTTCAAGCCTCTTTTCTGAGCCTCATTCACCTTCAGCCGCAGACGAGCGCTGGATTCTCTGTCCTCCGAGCACAAGTCGGTCCTAAATTGGATTTTTCATCTCAGGACAAAACTTTTTGGACATTTTACAAACTTGGCCAGTTGTTCTAGAAAACTGTGAGATGACTTGTCTGCATGTTCGACAGCTCTTATCGTGCACATGGTTTCCACGGAGGGATCATATTTTATTCCAACTGCTTCTCCATCTTCTTCAGTTTTCTATTATTCATTCAAGCATATAACAGCTCAACAGCTCACCTGGCTGAGCGAGCGCCGCATTTCCTCCTGTAGCGCCCTGACCCGGCCCTGACCCGGCCCTGACCCGGACCTGACCCGGACCTGACCCGGACCTGACCCGGACCTGACTCGGACCTGACCCGGCCCTGACCCGAAAATCACGTTTCCAAACCTAATCCTCAACCTCTGGAATGACCCCAACCAGCTGAGATCAGAAATCACTTCTGAAAAACATTTTTTTCTCAACTTCTATAGAATTTTCTTAATTTTAAAACATGTTTATTGTTTTTTGAGTGTGTGTCTGAAACTGTTGATGCAGGTGTTTGGAAATCAAAGATAATAATTGATCATCTCATGATGTCCAACAGTGTTTGTGATAAATTTTTACCAGAATAAAGAAAAATCATACAGTAAAATGATTTGTATAAAGTGGAGGAAAGTAGAACAGGTACATGTGGTGAAATTCTCTGTCGCTGTTTGAACTGCACCTGTTGACTTGATTTCCCTGCAGGTTATATTGATATAATATTAAATACGAGCGGAGCTTTCCGGAATCCGTACGGCTGAAGACATTGCTCTGAGACTTTCTTGGCTCCACTGGTTTTAAAAATGTGTCTCGCTCCAACACGTCTGCTCAGAACGAGACCTGCAAATAGAGATGTTCTCCACGCAGCCGTCGAGCTGAGTGACGGGCTGCAGCTTTTCAAACTGAAGTCGACGGCTTTCAAATAAAAGAGCACGAATTCAATTCAGACACAATCTGCTTTTTCTGTTGTTGTAGATGTTGAAACGTTAAACACTGTAACTCGCTGTTCATTCTAATATCAGAGGAACATCTGGACGTGTTCCACCGGCCAGATGTACGAGACGTAGAAACATGATCCGTGTGTTTGTAGGAAAACTGTCAGTGTTGAGGTTTTTAATGACGACGTGATTGAGGCTAAACGACGGCAGGGCAAGATGGCCGCCTTCGTATTTTGGCTTCATTTCTGCACAGTGGGAGGAAGCAAGTCATGGACCAACATCTTCCAAGGTAGATGGCGTTCAGGTGGAGAATTCACAGGTGAGATGAAGATAACCTTCAACACAAACTCTCCTCAGCTCCTCGCCAGTGATGCTGCTTTAAAATGTGCATCATCATCATCATCATCATCATCATCTTCATCATCATCATCTTCATCATCACCTGACCTCTGACCTTCTCTGAGCCGCTCGTCTCTGCACAGATCAACACTTCTGGGCGACGCCTCCCTCCAGAGCCTCAGGCTGTGTTTTTCAGGTTTGCTCTGCGGACTCGTGTCGAGGTGACGTCTTCGTGCTGGAGTCGGGAGAAGTGACAGACTCGACAGAGCTTTCATAGCCGGGCGGAGGTGCTCCTGTTATTTCTCCCACTTCTTCCCTCTCCCCCGGGCAACTGTCAGGGTGAACGGGAGGAATCCTGCGTGTTTTATAACGGTGGAGTGGATCTGTCAAGTCTGCACAGACTTCCACTGCAGAACAGAACTTTTCCACTCAGGTGTCTCATTAGCACAGACCCACACACACACACACACACACACACACACACACACACACACACACACACACACACTGTATGTGAGTCTTTATTTTCTCAATTTTAACTCATCAAATTAACAGGAATCCACTCAGACCATTTTTCTACGTCCACAATGTTTTCATTTAAAAAAAAAAATCAACTCTGCGACCAGACGAGTTCTTGAGCCTTTTCATTTCCACGCTGGAATATTGCTGATGTTGCATTTGCGGCTGAATCTTATAATCACATCCCCCAGGACCTCCTTCTCCTCCTGCCTCTCTCGGCTTCCACGTACCCACAATCCTCCTCTCTCTTGCCCTTTCCTCCTCTTTCTTCACCTCATATCTTCCTCACGTTTTTTTGCTTCTCCTCCCTTTTTCTCTTCCGCTGCCAGAAAAGAGATAACAAAGTCGAGCTTTCATTAATGCACCTGATTGATGGACAGGCACAGATCCAACGAAGCGTTGCCCTTCAATTAGGCCTCCGTGGTCACCTGGCAACAGTGTTAACGACGTGTACCCTTCAATTAAGCCTCAGTGGTTACTCAGCAGAAGCGTGAGCCAATGAGGTGTGAGCGGAGGTTGACACTTCATCGTTGCTGCTGCCTTCAAGGCCTCGTCGGCTTTGAATCACTCTGCCGCTGCTTAGTGCTGCAGATGTGTGTGTGTGTGTGTGTGTGTGTGTGTGTGAGGGTGGAAGCTTTACAATGACTCTGACGTTACGAGAAGCTCGGAGACGTGTTTTACGAGCTGTTCGCGATAACTCACCCAAACACTTTACTGTAGCTGCAGCGTTTCTGTGTTGATGCTCGAGCTGCACTCAGAAGAAGGCAGCGGATGCATCTGAGGATGAGTGAAGATGCATCCTCTCTCTATTAAAAGGAGAGGGGAGGATGTGAGAGGAAGAGGGAGGGACAGCAGAGAGGATAATGACACGGTGAAGGAGGGAGTGAGAGAAAGAGAGTTTCCAGCTATTCAGAGGGTTAATGAGAGAGTAAGATCGAGCCCGGAGGTGATAATTATCCTCAGAGGTTGTGAGGCTGCACAGACCCACACGTCTGCCCGGGGTTTAGCTGCACTACCGAGGACAAACTGCTGCAGGTCAGGTTTTCTTTATCTTTCTCCCCCAGAGTTTCATCCATCTAATGACTCCACAAATCTCTCTCTGTGTCCGTCTGTGACTCGTCAAGGTCCCAGAGAAGTGCAGCGTCCAATTTGGTCACATGATCGGTTCCAGTACTGATAAACCTTCAGGTAAACAAACGGCAGAAAGAGATGAACACGTCTTCTTCAACGTCACGTCAATAATATCTAACGTTTAATAATCTGATTATTTGTATTTATAGAATCACTTCCTCTTCGGTAATTGTCTTTGATTATGTTTATTTACATTGAGCTGGATCACTGAGCAATCATTTAAAATCAGGTCTGAACTCGGATTTTAATTCTTATTGTGTTGAAGCAACGAAAAAATAAGAGCAGTTCAGTAAATCATTGAAACTTGTGTATCAACAGTGTTTATGAAAACTCAGCTTCAGCTTCAATCTGAAAGTTTTACGACATTACTCAAACTAGAACTAGTGATTTAGACCAAAATCCAAATTCATCGGAGACACTTGAATAAACCACAGTGTGATAAT